TCTGAGTGTTACCTCTAAGATTTCTATTTACGCCAAGCTTAATTAGGTGTTTAAGGGGAATTCCAGAAGTATTTGTGGTGTTCTAAGCCAACCGAAGGTCATCTCTAAGACTTAGTGATTGGGGGTTTTCCTGATAAGGCTTGAATTTGAGTCCCCGGTCTGATTTCGTGGCTCGTCATAGGATACGGTCTCGAGTGTCCTTATCCTTTTGGAGTGGGGGAAGATATATGTTGTTTCCATACTTTAATTTAGGACGAACAAAACCGTTGAAGATTATGTGGAAAGTCCTTCCGTCGAACTGGCCAGAAATGCGCTTCAACGTCACCAGTGCAAGGTTTGCGGAATAGATCGTTCAAGAACTGTTCTTACTATGCTGACTGACTAGACCGTGTTAGAGCCGTGATAAGAAAATGATATGTAAGAAACATCTGAACGCGTTTCATCTTCATGGTTCAGAAGCTTGTTCATGATAAGTTTGTAGGTCGACACAGCTTGATGAATGTCAGCCAGCTGCAAACGTCCAATTATATACACTGATCCGACCAACTAATTGATCAGTAAACTGGGCGAGCCTACTAGACTAATGATTTGACAGTGACGTCGAACAAACCTGCCCATAACATTATTTACAGTATGATATTGTTGTAATCTCACATCCGTTATTGTTTATTTTTGTCAATTGATTTCAATGTTAACTTCATACAGCCTGAAAACTGAATCGTCTGCATATTTTTGTCTTTCCCTTCTTCTTTCCAAGCGTCTTTATACTCCCGGCAGTATAAAACGTATTTACCTTAGAACTAGACGCAAACCATTATATATTTGCAATTCAATGAAGGGTTTACTCCTCAGGAAACCCCAACCAACTGACTGATTTACACACTTCGATATGTGAAAATGCAAACAATATTACGAATTAAAAATATAGTCTCCAAATAATTAAAATGTAAAGAACGATTACATCACATCCCGATACCAAAAAAAGTCTTTTAGGTAGGTCAGAAACTGCATATTTATGTATTACAACAAATTAGATGAACGAAGAATATTCTTTTCAATGATTTCGCATCAACCTCTACAAGTGTGATATCCAAATTAATAATCCATAAAATTGGCCAGGTTTAAGGCAGAGTGCGTCATTTAAAATTTTAACATGTGAGTTGAGGATTGTTTTCTATATGAAATAAAATCGTCAATGTTTGTGTGTCTAATATGAAGTGTTAACTTCCATAAGCATTTACGTCAAATGAAATTGTGGGGTAAATGATCAGAATAAATATCCTCAACTTGAGGTGAGAAATAATAATGTAATTACGGATAACAAATGCAGTAATATGTAAATAATATTATGAATTAGGCAAGAGTTAGTAGATAGGGGTGAATTCTGAATAAATTTCTCAAAAATGTTAGCGAGTGTAATAATAACAATATAATTATGTTTATGAACATCCTAAGATGTGTGGATAAAATAAGTATATAAAAATGAACATTATTCAAGTTATGTCACCATACCACATAGTTGATTAGTAACTAATTAGGCCCGAAGTTGGCCAGGCTAAAAAGAGCGGTTTAACATATTTCTCCTGGACTCACCTCTGGTTATTTGATCCGAATATCATTTTCTTCAGCCCTCTGAAGTATTCTCAGTCTGACAGCACAAGATAGACTGTCGTTAACACGATATATTGTGAAAGATTAATCCATGTTGGCTGTGTGCCCGTTCGAATGAAATGAGCTCAAAAAGAGCTATTAACGGTTTTAACTACATTTTTGCTCAGTCACAATGAGAGGTGCTTATGAGACCGAATATAACTTGCCCCACACGGGCAGTTGAATTGATAGATACCGGAAAAAGAGGCTAGTTTAGGTCTTTTTCTTTCAACCTCTGAGCGTTTATCAGATATCGAGAAAACGTTTATTGTGGTTTACCTGCATAAAAGATTTTGGATTTATTAATTTATTTATTTGTTCGTTTGCGACCATAATCCCGGTCAAGATAAATCTTCCAGCCCAGAAGGACTTATACTACAAAGACAGATTGTAACAGGGTGCTTCCTTGAAAATCTTGGTGTAAAACTCTTTGCAGGGTAGTTGTCCAACATTTTTAATTTAAAATGTAAACGTTGTACCGAACAACTGAGTAGTTTGTTCGAATCAGTTATAATAACATACCAACTTAACACTGGGAATTGTAATCACTTCATTATCCGAAATTAGAGACAAACAATTGACTATAGGTTGAACATTTAAATAATAGGATGCATTGGATGTTGATAAATGTTTTCTTTTAATTTAGATACTGATATCGATCATTTATTAGTGAAATTATTTATGAAATTATCAGCGCTCGTTACTTCACTAGCCAGCTGTAGTTATGAGCAACTTAGATTGTTTTATGCGTTAATATTGAACATAGATTACTCTGCTTTGAAACTTGATATCTAACTCATTGATATGCCACTCACTCGAAAACTTGCACTACTAGTATCGATAATAATATTTTCTGAATCTCATGCCTGTGTCATTTCTGATTATTATGGATTGCTTTTATCACTAAGAATAGAAACTTTCTAAATTTTCAGTTCACTTTTTACCAGTTCTTTTCGATTTCAGATTCTTCCACATACTGCTCCCCACTTTCCTTCAACACGAAAGTTACCTTCAGGCTTGATGCAAGGCGACTAAATTTTAAACGTTACAAACGGTTTCTGGAGTTTTTAACGAATCCGATCAGTCTTTAGCGATACATTTATTTGCATCTAAGTATCCTACTACCTAAATAATTATATCTAAACGAAAGTTCAAACAACCATCAATATATGTGATAACATTATTTTGGGCGAAAATAGGGTATATGATGGCTTTCAGATAGCAAATCATAATCAACTTAACTCATTATATATTTTGCCTAAAATTTCAGGTGTAGTAAGAATGCAGAATTATGGTATAGGTTAGTATGAAGTATATTAATCTTCGCTGGTAGAATAGTGGATCTATTTATAATTGTAAGCTTCTAATGAGATAACTAACAAATCCCTTGGTAAAATTCACACCACTTAATATGCCGATTCGTCCTATCATGACAGTCAGCAACAGGCATTTTTGCACTTCTGAAGAATACATTACAACTGGAATTATAATTTGTGTCAATCAGTGATAAGAACTCTGTGTGATGTCACTAACTCACAACACTAGCCCAATTCATAATACAAAGATTTCAGTTTTAGTTTGGTGAGGACGGAAGGCTTTTTTCGCTCCCTTTCCGAATCTATATTGCCAAAGTTCTCAGCCCCTTGTCAAATGACAAAATGCAAACTTGGTAGTTCGTAATCAATGTTTCGTGTATGATCATGCCTATTAGACCCAGAGTTAAACATAAGTTAAATAACGTTGACACAATAGTTCGATGCTATTGATGACATGTTCTGCAGTACAACATAACATTTTGAGAATTTAAGACGGATTTAAATCCCAAATATTACTTGCTCAGCTAGGTCGATGTTAATGGGCATCGAGGCGAACTCTGACTGCAACGTTTATAAATGTGTATAACTTAGTTATAAACATTTTTAGATAAAACACCCCCCGCTTTGCAATGGAGTGTACCTTAGTGTCCAGTAGCACCAACTTCGGATAGCAAACATGGTCGTTTTCTGCCTACATTTCAACCACGTTCATGTCAGGGTAACTATACAAGAACATTGGTTTCTGTCTCAATGCATTTAAAAAATATTGAAAGGATCAATGTACTTTAATTATAAATTATTAAGTAATCATTTCTGTGAACCATCTATTCTAAATCGAAAAAATTTAAGAGTGCCCACCCGCAATACTGAACGTCATCCCAAAACCACCACAATCTTTAAGTAGCAGCAGGGTGTTAGACGCAAGTGCTAAACCACTGTTCTCCTATGATGTCACAGAAAAGATGGGGCGGTTATTTAAAGTTCTATCCATTTCTACAAAATGGGCTAACGAACTGTCATCGTCTCGAACATGTCCGTCTAAAATGGCCAGAAGGACCCTCCGAGGAGGATCTCGATGGTTAGACAATGGAGAGTCGAAATATCTATGTACCTACATTATAAATGTGAAATCGTTTGTTCAATTCTGTTTCCGTACGCTCATACTAATTTCGTAATTCATAAGATATCCCAACAGAGTTAGTTTCGTCGTCACTGTAGATTTCTTTTGAAGTCTCTCTCCTTCGTATGAAACGTGTTAAAGCTATTATGAAAGCGTCTGTACTCAGACTGAATTCGTGTCGAGATTCCGTTAGACAAAAGGACTGGCGAGAATCCGAAGATAAGTGAGGTGCTCAATGCGTTCAACTACTTTTCTCCCTATAATTATTTCACGCAATAACCCAAGCCAACTCTGAAGTAACATTTTACGTTTGGAGGGGAGAGCCGTATCTGAAACATGCTTGACTTGTTGCTTGAGGTGGCCAAAAGACTGCTCTTTGTCAGCGTCTTCACCAAACAGCGTTATCCCTAAAAACATGTTTATGACAAGGTTTAGTAAGAATTGAAAAGGCGGTCAACCCTGACGAACACGTCTTGATATAAGCAATACCAATTCTGATAACGATTCACTACAAACTCTTATTCGACCAGTAGTGTTCGAGTAGAGAGCCTACACAATGTTGATGTACTTCTTTGTTATGCCTTTTAATGACAGACACTGTGACGAAACCTCACGACCAACATAATCGAATGCCATCTTGAGGTCAAGGAATGGAAGTACAGTCGAGAACTATGTTCATGTTCCAGAATCTGCCGAAATGTGGATATTTTCTCTACACACCCACGTCCAGGTTTCAAACCAGACTGATTTTCTCGGATTCGCTCTTCACAAGTTCTAGTTAGACACCAAATCATTATTGAGAATAAACATGTACGCCAAAAGAAACGACAGTCTTCAATCAAGTGCCTCCAACGGCAGCTGATACTGGTAACTACTTGAATAGAAACCAGATTAAGTGATTAAAGTAACAATTATTGAAAAATAAAACGAGTTTTAATTTACTAGAGCACATAAATTTACAAATACACATGCACGTACTACATTAATCAGCATATTGTGCTTAACTGTGATCTTGTTTATTAAAAGAAAACGAATAGTTAAGTAATATTTTGGAACGACTGACTATGAAATGGGAAGTTAATTCGAAAAATCAACCACACTGGCTAAAAAACACTTCGAATAATAAATACATTCATTATTGTAAAATAAACATTGAAAGGAAGGAAAACAAAATAAATGAGCAAGTGAAAGTGAGTCATTTTTTTCATTCATTCATTCAAATACAAATAAAAAATAATTTTGGTAAATCAATTACTTTGTAATATATCATATATATATCGGCTTGTTTATTCGGCTTTTCTTGCCTTTGTTGTTGTTCTTTTTGATGATGCATTCGATGAACTGGAAGTGGGACTACTAGTGTTACCGACGGTGGTGTATTGATTTGAACTCTCAGAAATCCCTGCACTATTCGTAATTTGGCGATGCTTTTCTGAAGATTTTCGTTTATTTATTGTTGTTGGAGTGGTCTTTTTAGTATTTCCACCGAATAAAGATAGTGACGAAAGGAACTGAGAAATGAATAAAATACAATTACCCAATAAAAAAGGTAGTAAAAATATGACAAAACATTGTGATATGACGATAAACGAAAAATGTTTTCTGTTTTGCTACGATATGATACTATGATACGACCTGGAGCGAGATTGTTAGATCACTAGAATAGATACTCAAATGATACTCTACAAACAGACTGGAATCAAATGTTATGGAGGATAAAGGACTCACGACTAAATATAGAGAACCCGAGTATAGTCCATACAACCCTTTATTCAACACAACTGACGGCAGACTACACTCAGTGAAATTCGGAGTAGCAACTAGTAATAAGAAGGAAATCGTATGTTAAATACTTAGCAAATGGAGTGTCCGTCTATCATCGCCCAATGTCCGAACACATCTTACTGTCACTGGTGATATACCGCACTTATTATAGCACAACTATAAAAGATACGGATTGGAATAGCTTAAAATCGTGCTAACCAAACAAAAATAAGTGAGACAAGTTTATTTGAGATAAGATTAATGAAATTGTTTAATTGGTTTGCTTTTAATTAAGGAATATATGATATGCAATGTGATCCTCCGTCTATATTATCATTGATAATTTCTCACTGCTACAACTTAGTTAAATCTACAAATAAAAACTTTTAGTCAAAAATTTGAGAAATCCAGCTTGAATTTCATTGGAACAACGAAATGATCAACATTAGACCACCACTGAAAACCTATGAGCACTGAACAGCCATTTTTTTCTAGGGCATATCCATGACCCGACAAACGGGAAGTGAACGTAGGACATTTGGTATTGCGAGCAAACGCTTAACAGATAGACTAATGACTCGGATCCGATGGTGTACAAACCTAACGAGGATCTATCTTGAATCTAGTGAACAGCGAACAATGCGTTGTTATTATTATTAACATTAAGTTCCTTAGAGATTATGCATAGTTAAGAAGTAGTTTATGCTGCCACTAATATCCTCTTCAACTACTTAATATTTCCTGACCACGATCATTCATTAGGGTCTACCCAAATCAGTAACTGAGACTATCTTATTATTATTTATTTGAACACATAAATATTGGCACAAGAATGCCCCAATATATATGCGCCACACAAAACAATGAGAATTTAAGGGGGAGGAAAAAAAGAGAATAATAACGAAGAGATTGATGTGAGGTGGTGTAATGATAATAATAATAATGAGGGAACGGAAAGGTACAATCAGAAGAAATCTTTCAGTTAAGGAAGATACAACCACTTTTTACGAAGAAAGTAAAAGAAGGTTACAGCAGGATCGCCACTGGCTTCTATTCTGAGCCATATCTGATAACGTCTCTAGCCACTGTGTTGTACTATCTCTAAGACCCCAGCCAGGGAGTTGTGAAGGGCCAACACAGGCTAGCTCTTTGCAGCTTTCTTTCATGCTACGCCATCATGTGATATACTGACCACCTCTCCGCTTTTTCCAACCAGTCCCAGAGACGGCAAACAATGCACGACGTGGAATTCTCTGGGACGACATTCGTAGAACATGTCCAAGCCACTGAAGTCGTTGTTTCAAAATGGTGACACCAATTGCATTATCATCACTGTGCCCGAACACACGATCCCGGACCTGTGCATTACCAACATGGTGTTGCCACTGGATGTCAGCTTCGGTTTGGGCACCCGGGCAGTATCACAGCCCTCACACAAATCGAATGATTTATGTGGCGTATGTCTATTTGGTGCCTCCGTGTACCAATGTTTATGTGTTTAAAAAATGTCAGCAATCACTCGGAGACAACGGCGATCGAACACAGAGAGTCGTCTAACGTCCTCAACTCGGAGAGGCCAGGTTTCACAAGCATAGAGCAAAACTGCTCTCACCGATGAGTTGTAGATCCGACCTTTTACAGCCAGACTAACATCACGAAGGCGCCAAAGATGGCCCAGATTGGCATAAGCCGTTCTGGCTTTCACTATACGTGCATTAATCTCATCAATCACACCCCCACCAGCACTTACGCAGCTACCCAGATACACGAACTTCTCGACTACGTCTATCTGCTCACCATCCAGGGTGAGCACAGAATTAGGATCCTGCCAGTCTTGTAGAAGTACCTTGCACTTCGAAGGTGCAAAGCACATACCGTACCTACGGACACTGATTGCCAACTGATTAAGTGCGGATTGCATGGCTTGGCCATTATCGCACACTCAAGATCGAGAAGTCTTTCTCCAGGCATCAGATCTACACCGCTATTACTTACATACATCAGAGCTGTTTCCAGAATGTCATCGATGGTAAAGTTGAAGAGGAATGGTGAGATTAGGCAACATTGTCTAACCCCACTGCTTGAATGGAACAATGGAGAGGTGTTTGTATGCCCTCACTCTGCCTGAGGTGTTTGTATATAGGGCTTTTAGGATGTTAATAAACTTCTCAGGCACACCCTTCTTCAATAGACAATCCCAGAGAAAAGTCCTGTCCAGTGAATCGAAGGCAGCCCTAATGCCAAGAAACACTACGATTGTTGGCCTTTGACGGTGTTCTAACATTTGGTGGAAGGTGAAGATATGATCAATATATCCTCGAACAGAACGAAACCTAGCCTGCTCCTCGCGAGTCAATCTTTCTCGGGTTTTGAACAACCTACGAAGTATGACGGAAGCCAATAGCTTGGACGCAATCGGAACCTTTGTAAACAACATCGTCAGTTCCTTAGTTAGAAAGTCACCACCATCTTTAAAACGAGCTGGAGGTAAGTCATCTGGGCCAAGTGATTTGTAGTGTTTCAAGAGTTGGAGTTCCTTGTATACTTCTGCCTCATTTGGTGGATCAGTCGTCACCAACCATGGAGGGCAGGACAATCTGACCGATGTTGCCGAAGCAGCAGGCCAGTTGAACTATCCTTCGAAAAATTCTGCCCATCGTCCAAGACATCAATGTATGGCGGTCACTTCGTTTGCCACTGAAAAAGTAAGATTGGCGCAGACCAAAACATGGTCAGAGTCCAGTTAGGTACTTCAAAAGGAGCGGCAGTCTTGTACACAACCACGCCAGCGGTAACTGATAGCAATGTGATCAATCTGAGTCCAGGCTTGAGATGCAGAGGGAGGACGCCAGGTGGCACATCGGCGATGACTGTGCCGAAAGTTAGTGCTAACCAGAAACAGGTTGTGGTCTGTGCAAAGTTGCAGTGGACGGTCCCCGTTATTTGTCCTGCGACCAACAAGTCCCAATTGGCCACCTAAACGACTCTCTTCTGTGCCTAGACGCCAGACCTGAGCATTCAAGTCTCCGGCTAGTACTACAATATCTGTCAAACGCACTTTCTGGAGAACAACAGATAACTGGTGGTAAAACTCATCCTTGATTGCATCCGGGCTGCAATCTGTCGGAGCATAGGCGAAGATGACGAAAAGACATCGTTTCTCACATCGATTTCTTCTCGCTTTGATGGAACTCTCTAATCTAACAGCACATAAACGACTGTTAATAGGGATCCAATCGATTAGTACTGCCTCAGCTCTAGCGCTTAGTGCGACACCAACGCCAGCAAGACCAGACGAAGATGCCACAGGGTCCCCGGATAAGCGCGCGTAAAACAAGCTTTTCGAAGCGACAGATGGAGAGCGAATTTGTAGTACTTCACCAGAGTCTTGAATATGGGTCTCAGATAGACAGCAGACATCGATATTAAGACTTTCCAAAGACATAGCCAGCCCTATCTGTTGTCCAACCTGCATAAGTGTGCAAACGTCGAACACAGACAGTTTGAATGGCGCACGTGGTTTCAGAAAAATTGCTTCAGTATTCGTATTTGGTGGTAACATTCAATTCAAGTCGAAAAAATAAGTATAGACAGAATAGAAATAAAAGAGGGTGAATAATGTCGTAGCAAGTAACAATAATAATAATAATTTGAATCATTTGATTGTTATTCAAAGTGAGAAAAGTAGTTTCCATAGATATAGAGAGTTCATCATTTGTGTGTGGGCTGCGATACTGCCCTGGTGCCCAGACCGAAGCAGGTGGTTATTTTAGGGGGCCACCCCCCGAGCCTTTGACCTAAAGATATGATCCACAAGGCAGTGGAGCATCGTGAGGAAATGCAGTCCCATGGTAGCCAGTGACCGAAAATTGGTTCATACGCCATTTGCTCCCGCAGGATGCTGGAGCCCATCTGCACCATTGGTTTGGGATCCGTTAAAGCGCCGAACATTCGCTTTCCGTCCTCTCATTTCCGTAAACGACAGTAATGCCACGAGAAGGCAGTGAGTAGGACTTCCCTGACAGAGGCTGTATACGCGTGACCATGTGAGAGTATTTCGGGAGGGCGGACCCACCCTGCTCTCGATCATACCAGGGCATTTGGGGGCAATTGAGAGCAAGCAATATACATTCCAATAAATTGAACAAAGATACAGTAGTGAAAAAAATTAGTCGATACAAAATTTGTATATAAATACCTGCCGACCAGCGCTGATTACACGAAGATGGATTAAATAGTGTATTCCGATCCGAGTATGAAGCAATTAGCTAGCAATCACGAAACGATGCCATGCAAAAAAGATTGTCTCAACAACAAAAAACAGAATATGTTTTGTTTTGTGGTAAGAAGTCCCTGGACCTCGTGACGAGCACGTGAGTGTTTTGAATTCTTTCTCAGTTTAAGGATAATCAGGATTTCCGAATACAAAACAACAGTCCAGCGATCTGTCCTACGTTGTCGATGGTTTCCTTCAACTGGTGTTAGTTTATAATAGAAATTACATGAATGTAGCATTTATTTCTTAAGAAGAGCATCTATCATCACACATCAGAATTTCTAGTTTGTTAGATGGATGAAGAAGTCTGCAGGAAACTCTAGACCTAGGTCCCTAGCTACTTGACACTCGTCAGCAAGGCGTGTCTGCAATCTTAAAGAAACTGACGTTTCCTTTAATATTCCAAGCCCATCACGCAGTTTTACAGACTGGAGACGTTACCACTGAGCTATTTGGGCCGCGAGTTACCTAATGTAAGACTAAGATATTTACACTGACTAATCAAACGACATATATCATATTCATTATTTTCTATGCCAAGAAAAGAAAAAAATAACTTACTTCACTCATATCAGGTAATTGTTGTTGTGGATTAAGAATATTCATTTGCTGCATTTCTTTTTGTACAGTAGGATCATTAGTATTCACTAGTTTTGTCAATATCACAACCAGTAATAATGGAACTAGCACATAAAGAACATTTGGATTGAATAATAGATCTAAGGTACGTAGTTGTTCACGTGCCTTATTAAATGAATGAAGATAGCAGGGAGAGAATTCAAATATTTAGAATAGAAAAATTAATAAGTAAAACAAAGAGAAAAAATATATCACGTATAAGATTTCAATCAATTGAATATTATAAGCAAAGATGGATAGTGGCTAGCTTGTGAATGAAAGCAATATCGAGGTAACACGCACAGTATGCACATATGCCAACAATAGACTGATCAATTGTAGTCTTAAAGCTCAATGGGAAGATTCAAGCAATAACAATACCAAGTGAATTGAATATTATATTGACTGCTAAGTAAGAAAACACAAAACTACATCTATAGATTAAGTTGTATCAACTTAAATTTGGAGTTTTCATTTATACTAGAAAAAACATAATTCCTCAATAACTACTATACAGTTTAGGAATTTGGAACTCAAGAAGAAACAATAGCTATCCATCCTATATATTCCAACAATCATAACATTCATGTTGGAAATATCCTAACAACCTCACATGAAAAAAGACTACTCCAATTACAAAGAATAATGACTAATTGAAGCATTTTATATCACGGTAAACATTTATTGTGCTAAAATACAAATTTCTTATTATCTAACCAGTATAATATGATACTAGAAATATGCAGGCAAATTTTTATAATTTCAATAAATTCAATCACTAGGTTATTTGGGTATGAACCACACCCTAAGTGTGTAGGCTAATGACAATACATGGTTGTCTAAACCGTGGTTGGTGGACAGGAGTTTAAACCTAGGACTTAGTGGATGAAACTCGAACGCCTTAATCACTATTCCACAGTTCCACATAAATAAATTGACAAAAATAGATAGATAGACTGTAAACCACACATTTACTTACTACTCAATCTAAAATATACGGTTACAAAAACAAGCATTTATCAAATAGTGTTGTCATATTTGATATTTCTGTACCAAATCTAAACTTGTTCATATTTCTGGCATTGTTTTATCTCATTTGTCTCTTTAACAATACATTTGTTTGGTCTTGAGAGAGGTAAATTTGACAGTTTTTACAAGTCGAAAATTCACTGTTATGCTCAGTAGTACATTCGTACCACATCGCTTACGTCAGTTCCCCTCGCGGAGGACCACAGGCTGCCACCAACCAGAAATGGTATTATGTATTAGAGAGGGAGAGAGAGAGTTGAACCAAATCAAGTGATTAAACTATCATTAGCTGATTTCGCTTTAAACTAAAACAGAATTACTTATTTGTTGAGAATTATTACTCACAACTAGTAACATACTACAACAGTAAAACTCAGTTCTGATGACTCTATTAATTTCCGCTTCATTATTTCATTTTTCCATGCATCTACGAGAATGATGAATCTTTTCTAGCCAATATGTTAAATAACAATTAAACAAACAAAAAACAACTTAATAATTAGTTAGCTCCATCCTCATTAACTAGTTGTTGTTATTAGAATGTGATTAAAGGAAACTATAACATGAAAGTGTGATCTATGACAAACGTAAGGTTCATTGGTCAATATAACGTTTGATTGATTGGTTTTTATTTACTGTTCTCGTTAAGATTACTTCAAAAAATTGTACTATGGTCATTACTATGATTTGTCGTATTATCAAAATTTTGCGCATTTATTTCTTTTAGCAAAATGTTCCTTTGTATTTTAGGGCTATTTTAAACGAATACGACCGATAATTGTGTTTACATGATTTATTTTTAAGATATAAAAAGCTTTCGTTCAAAATTACACCTTTCTTTTCATTCTGAGTACACCGTTTGACATCGTTGAAGTAATGTCACATTATTGTTTGGCTGGTATCAATTAATTGCGCTATATCCGAACCTATACCATCCCCAGTATAGACCATTACAAATCTGCACTATTGTATACAAGGGAAATAAGTTGAAACTCATTCCGAATATTGTTACTACTAAAATCAGATGGTAAAAAAATTAGGAAAACCGAAAATAAGTTTCCCAAATTGTATAACTAATATGTTCTGAACGCTAAATATCAATACTACGTAGAACCATGTGTAAGACTGCATTGATTAAAGACATAAAAAATTCCCAACAGTATAAGGAAAGATATCTTTTCAATGAAGCATAAAATTCTTTACACTGTTCCCATGAAGTAATAGGTGAGCACTGTTAAAGAATCTAGGAATGGGACGAAGCAAACATTCAGTATTTAGTAATTTTTTGAATAGTACCGACCACTGGTGAAATCTAACTTGGAGGAGATAACCAATTATTTTCAATTCATAAAATTTAAGACAAGTAATACAGCTGCAGTAGAACAGGATTACTAACCTTGAAGTAGACTGCTCTTCCAGAACTGGAAAGACGTAAGGGATACGGGAGTTCTTTCACAGCATTGGGCTGTGGTGCATTTAGCTGACGCGCCCGAATACGACCTTTAGAACTTATGTCAACCCGAACACCCTAGAAATTAAGACAACAGGATAAGTTAACACTTTGGTAAAAATGTAGTTCATTTATTACGTAGGCAATCTGTAGAATTATCGACTATTACTAACAATAAACGAAGACTAAAAGAAGAATTCATGGAAAAATTCATCCTAGAATGGATGGACTGCTTAAAATACAAAATAATCAATAGGAGTCAATCAACAAAAGTTACTATTAGTTAACAACCGCTGTTATTCAAATGTATGGCTAAAGTTCACGTGGTTATCGTGACAAGACTCAAAATCGTTTACAATAGCGCTCATACACATGTTCTTTGCATTCCCCGAATTCTGAAATCTTAAATTCCTCACAGTTTTTATGTGTTTTTTATTTCATCGGTTTATATTTTCTCCTCGAGTTGTATCATCGATGTCTAGTCTTTCCTATTACCACTGATACTGTGGCCTTCCCCCTATTCTGGGTTTTAGCCCAACAACTTCATCTCTGTGCTAGTGAAGTATGACAACCTGAATCGATGTACCAGGTTTCGCGTTGTAACTGAATGACTGTTTAACAGTTTTTAAAAAAAGATTTTCGCAGTAGTTATCAATATTTCAGTCAGTTCTGTAAGTATTACCATAACAGTTCTGCTTCTATTTTTTACAACCTTTTGTTACATTTTATGTAGTGAAAGATGGTTTTATTTATTATTCTGTAAAGACAACAATGAAATTTCTCAAAATCAAGAATTGGTTGTTGATGTCTTAAAAAATTTCTTAATATCCATCCAAAGTAGCTCGTGACTGGTAAAGGAGCACAAACAGATGCAACTGATATACCGCATAGAAGTAACTATATATACTGTAACATTAACGAATACTAATTGAGCCTTGTGTTAATAGAACTTATATTCTTACTGATATCTGGTTTACATTTGAATGGTTCGATTATTGAATGAATGTGTCATATGATTAGGCCTGTGCCAACGTTATAACATTATTAATGCTGGGGATTTGCAAGAATGATGCTCAGCCTATTGCAGCCATCCAGGTTAACCATCTGTCTCCGCTGTTTGTGAATACTACTTGTTGTAGTGGGACGAATATTGGGAAATTCAAAACTTTCTGAGCTAAATTTCGAACTACTATTATTACCATTTATATCTTTAGGCCATATGTGGAATTATTCCGTTAATACTCACCTGGAAATAATAGACGGGATTTATGACTTCGACTATATATGATCCAGATGGGACATTAGTTACTTCAAAGTTACCATCTGCTTTCACAAAACCAACGAACTGATCACCAGCTATGTTAATTCGTGTGTTGACATGCCAGTCTGGAGGAGCTTCAGGAGGCATTACAACAGTACCTTCAATAACGTAACCATAAGACTTGCTAAGATGGAAAACTGCAAACAACCAAACGAGATATTGCCACATGAGAAATCGATTGTGCATAAGGAACTTTTGAACAGCTTTAGATGTGACCCAACTGTACTACCTCTTAATCCGTTCAAGGATGATATACCTAAAAGGAAGACAAATAAGAATAACAAGGTTAGGCACAAAACAATATTCAATACAATTCTTTAAGGTTTTTATATATTTACTTGAAACTTCATAAAAACTGAACTCAGTTTCATAGTTGGACATGATTATTCGCATGCGTTTTTGGTTTGTTTAGAGGATTCAAACAAAACAACAAATATTTTCCTCCAATATGTGAAATATTATGACAAGCATACAGCAGATGTGTGTTACTTTTCCTTAATGAGTTAACGAACTGGGAGCGTGACCGCAGAGCCCAAGGGACAACTGTTTGAGGCCGGTTGCGTACGACCTTTTCGTCGGAGGTTTTTAATGTGTTAGCTCCGTCATTTAAAGAGCCTTACCGCCGAAGACGGAGATCTGTGAGGTAAGGTGAGGTGTAACATTTTTAGGGTCGACCTTTTCTAACACCCTCCTTTCTTGTGAGAAGGCAGCATCGCTGCATATGCTGGTTGTCCGATGGAAACACCTTACTGCTGTCACACCCCTCTACAGTCAGCAGTACGACTTTGCATTCAGGCCTGGAGTTGCTGCTTTCTCCAAATGACCTGCCTAGCACGGCAGAACATACAGTAACATATGTTCCAGCCAATATAGTTCGGTTGGGTCATCATGATAAGCAAGCCCTACCACCCCATCAAGGTAGCAGCTACGGTCGGGATTTAGGCAGCCAAAGTTATATATCTGGATGTATCCATATGGTTTCAAAATTAATCGTAAAAACCACCTGGGTCAACAAAATGAAGCTCACGAACGACAAAATTCAAGGATGACCACCTTAAGTCTGACTCTTCGGTCGTCCATAAATTATAGCCTTACCACTAGAGTTTTACCAAATGGTTCATGGTGAACATCTGAACCTAGCCAACAAAAAAGGAACAAACCCAACACGGGGAAAGCGAAAGAGATATAACTTCAAAAAATAAGGGGTAAAGGAACAATGCGCCAAATTATGTCTATTCGCCTGATGAAAGAAAATAGCGAGACCTTTCCTCTAATTGTCTTCCTAGAGAGGAAATGTCTAGGAATCTAAGCCGGTCTACTTTTCACTTAAATTTACTAAAAACTGTCCACTCTTCACCTGCATGATAAACTGAATATTACACACGGAAAAATCAACTTTCAGCTTTCCTTTCCACAATGAAACTAACCATGAAGACGGAGCACTAAGTAGAAACTCCATGGACTATTTCCAGACGTCTGGTACCTGAAATATCTATTTCGCAATCGTGGGACAAATAACGAACAAAAATGATGAGCCACCAAAATTTTGGCAGAAATCCGGACATTTGCATGAATAAATGAGTTCACCAAAGCTCGTGTCAATTAAGCGATGGGATAAAACATATTTAAGAACTATGAAAGATCTTCCTACAAGATTTGTCGACATTTAAGAAGTCTCATACATACAGGAAAACGATCATTAAACGAAAAATATCATAACAACCGTTTTGACAAAATCACACTCGAGTTTCTTCCAGATTAACAAACACCCAGACGTGTCGTAAACATTGGAGTTGCCCGCGCGTAGAGCTCAGCATCCAACTACATTGTCTTCAGTAATAAGGATAGGAGGTCTATCGACCTATATTAATCCTTGCAGTTTGTAATACTGTGGAGATCCAATATCGTTTTAAATTTTTCAACAAAAGGTGCTGATATTACGTGTTCCGGTAGAGAATTCCAAAAATTCACTAATCGGTTCGAGAAACGAAACTCCAAACGTAAACGGTTTTGATCTCGGTTTTTGAACTTTCTTCGAATGTCCTCTCAAATGATCGGTTCTAGACGGAAGCAAAAGATAAGACATGTTAATACCAAGGTCATCGTTCAGTATACGATAAGTCAATATTAGATCACCCCGTATTCTACGGTAAGATAACGGAAATATGTTAAGGTGTCTCAGTCTATCTTCATAAGATGGGCCAAATAAACCTTGTACCATCTTAGTAGCTCGTCGTTGGACTCTTTCTAGCATATCTGCTTCATACTTGGTACAAGGACACGCTGCTTGAATCCCGTATTCTAAATGCAGTCGCACATAAATCGGGTATAGTAATCTAAACATTTCATCATCTAAATACTGGAAAGACCTACGAATTGACCATAATACCCGATAGCCTTTTGCAGCAGCAGCCTTACAGTGACTATTGGTTTTGAGATCATTGCTTAATATGACTCCTAAATCTCTATAGCTCCTTGCTTTGGGTAGCACGGATCTACGTAGTGTACAGTTATATGATTCATCAAAGTTATTTAACTGCATCACTACACTCTTATTAGGATTTACTTCTAGTGACTACCTGTCTAACCATGCCACCAATGAGGTAAGATAGTCCTGTAATACTATTCTATCCGACATACTATGTATGGGTCTCCAAATCTTTATGCGATCAGCGAAGAGTAGAACGGATGATTTTGCTACAGTTGGCATTTCATTTACATAAAGTAAAAATAGAAGAGGACCTAGGATTGTACCTTGGGGAACCCCACTTTTTACGGGTACCCACGAGGAGAGAGCCCCATTAACCCTTACCCTTTGTCTCCTGTCATGGAGAAAGTTACTTATCCAATCGACGACTGTAAAATGGATTCCAAAACGTTCCAGTATGAAGTTAAGACCAGAGTGAGAAACCTTATCAAAGGCTTTACTTAAATTTATGAAAATCAAATCCACAGGAACATCCCGATCATTTGCCGCAGCCCAATCTTCTCGTGCAATGAGATTTGTCAAGCAAGATAGGCCTTTACGAAAACCATGTTGTGCCCTGGAGAAAAGATTTTGCCCTTCAACATAGTTTACAACAGCTATCCGAATGATTTTCTCCATCAGTTTTACAACTGCACTAGTTAAGCTAACGGGTCTTTAGTTACTAACTAAATCCCTACTCCCAGCCTTATACACCGGACTTATTATGGCGTCTTTCCAGTCTCTAGGAAGTCTGGACTGTCTTAGAGAAATGTCGAATAGTATTGCTAATGGTTCAACAATTTCATCTGATATGGCTTTCATAATCCTAGGATTAATTATCATCAGAACCACTGGACTTATCAGGTTTGAGATGCTGAAACAGCCCTAAAACAGTACCTTTCTCAATGACTACAGGATCCATCAGCAAACCGTCACGGTCGCGATGAATCGTTGGTCGTTCCTCATTACCGATAGAAAACACTATACTAAAATATTCCGATAAAGCTTCAGCTTTTTCGGCATCATTCTCTGCTAAGATTAACGGATTATCTCGTATCAAAAGTGATGGAATTCCATCGTTTCTCTTAGTTCTCCTTTTTATATACGAAAATAATGGACCAGATTTCAGTGGTGAGAAAAAGAAATCAATCAACCTATTTTGATCTTTGAAATTTCTAATACTGAGAAGGTTCAATTACTTTTAAATGTGTCATCAGAAGGTGCTGATATCACGTGTTATGGCAGAGAACTCCAGTTAATCAACACTCGGTGCGAGTAACCGAACTCCACATGTCAACAATTTAATTTCGGTAGTTGAAATTTCCTGGAATATTCTCTCAAATGATCTACCCTAGACTCAAGGAAAATATTAGATATATTAATAACATGATCATTCAGTATACGAAAAGTCAAGATTAAATCGCCCTGTAATCTGCCGTATGATTTCGGAAATGGGTTGAGACATTTCATTCTATCTTCTTCTTACACCATTTTGGTCCCTCTGTGTCAGACTAATTATTGTGTATCCACTTCGTACTTGAAATAATGACTAGCTGTTTGGATGTCATATTCCAAATACATCCTCTCAGAAGTTTAATGCTACAAACATTCCTCTGTTTTAAGTAATTAAATGGCTTACAAATAGCTCATAAAGCTTTGGAGAATTTAGCAGCGATATGCCTATACTTACTCATAGTTTCAAGGCCTTTGTTTATCATGACTTCTAGACCTTTATAGTCTATTAATTTGTGTAACACCACTTACTTTGTAGTGACGTGCATTATCTCAGTTAATTATTCGTATCGCTTTCACCACCGCTAGTATAAAGAACATTTCTAAAGTATTGTGACAAACTTTTAGAGGTGAGACTATAATTTATGGACGACCTTTGAGAGACTCTGAAGTGAATTTGAAAGTGAACAACTACTAATTAGGACTAAATGAAGATTATAAATCAGTTAGAATTCTCATTTACAGTTCATGGTTTGGGTTAAAAATTAGATATATGGTCTTCATCAAGAAATGACATCAGCTATAATGCTAAAACCCTATTTAACCAAACTTATGGATGAATTTCGCGCCTAAATTCATGACTATTATATCTGGTTGGTTCGTCCATCATTTCTTGTCAACATCAACGGATTATCTCGTATCAAAAAAGGTAAGATTCGATAACTTCTCTGAGTTAGCCTCTTCGAAAAATAAAAAACACTTTCGGACTATTTTCACAGTCCCTAACCAACTGTTTTCATTACGAAAGTCTGACCCTAATTACCAAAGCTTTGCAAGCATTCTTAGTCTTGCAATAAGTTGTACTGTACTGTTCAATATACTCTAATCCATTTTTCCACATCTAAGACGTTTGTTAGAATTATTAGTGGTCCATGATAAACAGTAATTCAGTCCACATGGCATTAGGGATGGTATGAATGGGGTCATAAATAAGCTATGCACACCTACAAAAACGAATCATACTTGTTCGATTGATGGGCTAATATTCAGCTGACTTCTGAATTTTATAACACAATATGTTTTAAATCATAATAAAATGTGCAACTGATAGAAGAAAGATGATCACATTTCATAGTTTAAGAGACTGTTCTATGTGGGTATTTGAAAGAATATTTAAAGGTGTGATTTACTACAACGTATATTTCCAAACTTAAACATAAAAAGCTACAAAGATAAATGTTCCGTGTACTCAGATAACACGGCTTACATGGTTAATTAAAGACAGGTATCCCTAGCTTCAAATAAGATATTCCAACATGTGGAAATCGATTTACTTCTGATCACTTTATGGGTAAAATTTTAAAATCCTGTTCTGTGGTACAAAGAAAAATGTGAACCAAACCAAAATTCACAAATTGCAGCAAAATTATGATAATCTCATACCTCGAGACACTACTGAGGAGACAAATTTAGCTTGATTGTTAATGGATCATCGAAAGATGCTGAAGCTCCTAAGATATTTTTAATTTGGGTTAAATTACCCCCTTTGTATTATCTTTCAAACTACAATAACAATTGTTCGAGAAAGTTGAGGAAGAAAACAAGTATTTGCGTCACAATTATATAGCAGTATTGTCCAATCAAACACTTTGGTGGGCTTTCTAAAGTATTACCTCCAGTAGACGTGGTTTACAAACTAGTACCCAGCAAGGCAATTCAATGCGTACTCAAACCGTCGCAAATGGAACAGTACTTAAGCCACAAAGAATACAATGAACTCACCTGAAAATATTATTCTGTAAGTCAGATTAAGTTCATAATATAATAGAAAACGTTTATTACTCTGTGTAGGAGTCTTACACTTAAACAGTTTATATGTTATTTCCGACATGATAGGAACAAAATATATAAATATGCAAAAAAGAAATGTGAGAACACAAAAATATTACGGCATTATATATATATATATATATATATATATATATATATATATATATATATATATATATATATTGCTAAAACAAGGAGCAGACTTTCAATATATCGATTGGTGTGTGATAGCCTGATCTATCTGAATTATAGTACAAAGACTAGAAATCTCAGAAATAACGCAATTTAACCAACAAGTATAAGATGAGCACGAAAGAACGTGTTGTATTTGGAGTTCGAAATCAGGCAGTCATCAAGAACAAAGGAATCATTAGTTTATACAAACCTCACACTACTAGATAACATCGGAGACACTAATAAAGGTGTCAAGGATACTCGATATTTGACCACATTTTTGCCCGTAATGCCTCAAAATCGAGGATAACAAACTCAATCGAACCAGGAGTCAGGAATGTAGAATTCCAAAGACTTAACTGAAAGCTGGTAGATATGTCAATGATTTCTTCATCTAAGATGACTAGTTGTTGCCAGGGATGCATAGCGCAGTGCATCCGATAATGATCTGATATGGACACTTGATTAAGCGCCTTCAGTTAGGATGTGTCTAGTGAAGCTAATGAGATCAGCATCAACGTCGAAGACTTACAGAACAATTTGTCCCAGTAATTTATTTGCCACTACACTATGGTCATTGTAGTGTAGCGTGGAGTCGAGTCCCAGTTGACTATGAACACCACTACAAAGGAACGCGTGCCAGGATATCCATAAAATCCCCCGGAGGCCAAATATCAGAAGTCAGTTAATGGACCAAGTCGAGATATATTTGCTGGCGATCTCGTGGTATCGAAAGAATACCGAGATCGTACCAGGATACAAGCTTGGTTACTGAGCGTAACCGGATTCGCGCGAGGTCACAATCGAAGTAAGCATAATGAATGTTTTTAGCACAGTTAAACAAAGAGCAGATTAAAACAGTCTCTGGTAAAATTGGTTATAATAATAATTGTT